GAAAATTGGGCCTTTCATGTCACTTTGGTAGTAATTGAGCCAAAACAAACATTATAATAACAAACAAGCTAAGTACGTCATTTTCACTTTAATTGGGCCTTGTATACCTATTACATGTTTATTGGGCCTTATTGACCTATTTACACATTTGATGGGCCTCGTATAATCATTTCATGTTTATTGGGCCTTATTGACCCATTTACATGTTTGATGGGCCTCGTATAATCATTTCATGTTTATTGGGCCTTAAATACCTATTTGCATGCTTATTGGACCTTGTGTTCTCATTACATGTTATTTGGGCCGTATAGGCCCATTGGTATTCTTATTGGGCCTCACGACAAATTTTATGTTAATAGAGCCAATAACAAACAATACTTGACACTGTGATAAAAACAAATGGTGTTTTTATCACAAATGTTTTGTAATCAAATACATACTCAAAACATTATTTTAAAACGGTAAACAATGTGATACACTGTTCGCGTAAATTTAGTTAAGGTTCTTGTGAGACGTTCTTTCATTCATACCTACCTAGTGTACAACCTTAAGTCCTGTAGTTATAACCAAAGTATCTTGTAGGGAGAGCGATAATTTGTGTATAGATCTATATAAGGTTGACAGCCCCGCACCTGAGATGTTTGTTACAGCAAGACTAGACAATTCTAGGGTGACAAATGTGTTACCTTAAACAAGTCGACACTTGAAAAACGTCATGATAGGCAAATCAGTCATATCAAGCATGGTTGTAGCGACTTGCAAGGAGATTAATAAACACTGTAAAATTTACGAAATACCTATACTTTAATGGTGTTACGAAACCATACAAACACCATTTTTCGATCTTAGGGTTTTAAGACCACAACACTTTTACAAGCAGAAAATATCGGATTTTCTAGAAAACAAATACTGTACATTACATTTTACTTACAACAGGAAATAAAGGAATTTATGAAATTCTCTCTTTATACATTTTCAAAAATATGAACACACATGCTATAATATAAGATTTGAAACAAAACACTCAGACCATTTTTACGGAAAATATCGGATTTTTGGGTTTTAAAAATGATACAAAACCTTTCATACAAACATGCTTATGAACTTACAAACTTTCGGTTTTTAATGGGCTAAAAATGTCATTTGAAACGAAATAGGACATTTGTTGTTGGTTTTAATGGGCCAAATGATTAAAATTTGACAAAAGTGGGCTTTTAGTTAAAATCTTGATTATTTGGGCCAAAAAGGTCATTTCTAAGAAAATTGGGCCTTTCATGTCACTTTGGTAGTAATTGAGCCAAAACAAACATTATAATAACAGACAAGCTAAATATGTTATTTTCACTTTAATTGGGCCTTGTATACCTATTACATGTTTATTGGGCCTTATTGACCCATTTACATGTTTGATGAGCCTCGTATAATCATTTCATGTTTATTGGGCCTTAAATACCTATTTGCATGCTTATTGGGCCTTGTGTTCTCATTACATGTTATTTGGGCCGTATAGGCCCATTGATATTCTTATTGGGTCTCACGACACATTTTATGTTAATCGAACCAATAACAAACACTTGACACTGTGATAAAAACAAACGGTATTTTTATCACAAATGTTTTGTAATCAAATACATACTCGAAACATTATTTTAAAACGGTAAACAATGTGATACACTGTTCGTGTAAATTTAGTTAAGGTTCTTGTGAGACGTTCTTTCATTCATACCTACCTAGTGTACAACCTTAAGTCCTGTAGTTATAACCAGAGTATCTTGTAGGGAGAGCGATAATTTATGTATAGATCTATATAGGGTTGACAACCCCGCACCTGAGATGTTCGTTACAGCTAGACTAGGCAATTCTAGGGTGACAAATGTGTTACCTTAAACGAGTCGACGCCTGAAAAACGTCATGACAGGCAAATCAGTCATATCAAGCATGGTTGTAGCGACTTGCAAAGAGATTAATAAACACTGTAAAATTTACGAAATACCTATACTTTAATGGTGTTACGAAACCACACAAACACCATTTTTCGATCTTAGGGTTTTAAGACCACTACACTTTTACAAGCAGAAAACATCGGATTTTCTGGAAAACAAATACCGTACATTACATTTTACTTACAACAGGAAATAAAGGAATTTATGAAATTCTCTCTTTATACATTTTCAAAAATATGAACACACATGCTATAATATAAGATTTGAAACAAAACACTCAGACCATTTTTACGGAAAATATCGGATTTTTGGGTTTTAAAAATGATACAAAACCTTTCATACAAACATGCTTATGAACTCACCAACATTATATATGTTGTTGTTTTCAAAATACCTTGTATTTCCAAGGAATCGTTAAGCAAGTTGGTCATTAAGAACATGTAGATTTTTGTTATATTTTGTTATCATCATACATTTAATATTTAGAATGTAATTTGTAAACCAACACACTGTGATGATATTACAAGATGAAGTCACCCGCCCCCGAGCTTTTCCACCGTTCTGGTTCGGGGGTGTGACATTCACCCCATAATACATCAGGCACATTCATCAACTTCAAGCAACTTCTTACCATCTCCACAATCATCATGTTTCATCTCTCCACAACTCCATTCTGTTGTGGGGAGTACGGAGAGGTATAATGGCGTCTCAAACCCGTTTCGCTGCAATATGAGGTGAATTGGTTTGAGATAAATCCACCACCACGATCCGTTCTCAGAAATTTCACCTTCTCACCTGTTTCAATTTCTAATTTTGCCCTAAAGTTCTTAAAGGCTTGGAAAGCTTCATCTTTTGTTTTCAGGAGATACACCCACATTACTCTACCGTAATCATCAACAAGTAACATAAAGTACCTGTTACCAGTAGGTGTGGGAGGTGAAACTGGTCCACATAGGTCACCATATATGAGCTCAATCCTCTTTTTTTCTTTGTAGCTTGTGTGCAAAGGGTATAAGTTTTTTGATTGCTTTCCTGCCAAACAACCTTCACAAGGATGTGTTGGGATGGCTATCTTTGGCATTCCTTCAACCAAGTTCTTGTCTGATATGAATTTCAGTGAAGAAAAATTTACATGGCCCATCCTTGCAGTTGGTTCATGAATTTCAGCAATCAATCATGTTGACCTTACTTCTTCCAGCTAAATTTTGTACAAATGATTTAAAGACCTCTGGACCTTCATCAACATCCTTCTTGTAGCATCATGTACCCATAAAAATGGGACTTATATTCTAATCTCATCTCCACCTTCTACTAGTTGTCCCAGACTTATTATGTTGCTACATAAGTTTGGGATATAATAAACTTCTTCAAGTCTATGATTCTCTCCATTCTTGCATTGAAAGACAATCATGCCCTTGCCTTCAATTCTGAATCTAGATTCATTCCCAAACTTCACGTAACCTTGAATCCTTTTATCCAACTCTCTGAACTTGCACTTGTCCCCAGTCATGTGGTTGCTGGCCCCTCTATCTAGATACCACATATTTGATTGTTTCACTGTGTCTCCTTTTGTCTTCAATGGTGGGTTTAAGTTTTATTCATTCAAGAACACTTCACCAGTTTCTATAGTTGCATCAAGAGATGCCAACAATAGTGTTGGTTCGTTGTCAAACTGTTCTTGAATCACGTTATTCACTTGATTTCTTTCTTTTCTTGGATTCTTACACTCAGCAACATAATGTCCAAATTCTTGACAGTTGTAACACTGCACACCACTCTTGTCTTGATTACTTGACTAGCCACGTTTGTCTTCCTTTTGATGGTGTGAGTTGCCTCTTCCACGACCACGATTTCCTTTGTGAGTGGACTTGGAGTCTTCTTCTTTCTTCTTATTTCTTTCTGACCATTCTTGGTGGGTCAAAAGAAGTTTTCTTTCTTCATTATCACCATGTCCCTTCATCCTTTCTTCATGAACTTTTATCCTTCCTATGACTTCTTCAACCGTCATCTCATCCAAATTACCAAATTGCTCTAGAGTGGAAGCAATCTGAAGGAACTTAGATGGTACAACTCTTAGTAGTTTCTTCACTACATAAGATTCTTCTACTGCATCCTCAAGGCTCGCATGGTACTCACTAGGTTGCTTATCTTCACTGCAAACTTATCTACAACCTCTGATTCCTTCATGGTCAAGGCTTCAAAATCAGCTTTCAAAGTCTGAATTCTTGCTGTCTTCACTTTATCTGCTCCCAAGAACATGGTCTTCAAGGCCTCCCATGCTTCTTTGGCTGTTTTCTTCTCAACCAATGAAAGCAATCGATCTTTAGGTATGCCTTGGTAGATGGCTGCCAAGGCTATCTTATCTTTCTTCACTTCTACTACAGTGTTTGATGTTTTGGGTTCCACTGCATCCCACACTCCTTGGGCTTGCATGAAGACCCTCATTTTGATGGCCCATGCAGAGTAGTTACTTCTTGATAGCATCGGATAATGGAGAGTGACCAGACCTTTTTTCACTATTTCTATTGTTTTCTGTCATCTCTTTACGTGGTTGGTACTTTGGCATACACTAGGTTATGCTTGATACCAAATGTTGGCCTTGTACAGGAGTGTTAGTGACTTTACACAGAAAATAAGGCAACATGGGACAAAATATTAAGTATCACAGCGGGTAAAAGATAAGGAAAAAGTGGGACAGGAAAGCAATACACACAGGGGCAGAAAGCTGCACTTTTCTTATTCATAAACAGGGAAGGAAAAGAGGGTACCAATCGTACATTGCCAAGCTATTTAAAACAAAATTTAGCATAAAAATAGCAACTATTTCTACCACTAGCTAAAAACTAGGACTATCAAGCCCCCATGGCTTTGATTTATTCAAAGACTCTAAACAACTAAAAAATGCATTAAATAAACATGCATAAACCAACAAAATGTCTGAATTACTTTTAACTGGTCTCACATGAACTTTTATATAAAAATATATATATATATATATATATATATATATATATATATATATATATATATATATATATATATATATATATATATATATACCATTCAATACAAATTTATACACAAAATGGTCCAGGTGAATGAAGAATCAACTTAGTGCTTTAGTTTGATACTAGTTTTATTTAAGTCTGACAATACAATACACACTTTCAAGTAAATAAGCATTGTGGCATAATTCTAATCTTGATCCGACTTTCAGCGGCAACTCAGACATATCCATGCAGTCTCTTAGTCGCATAAATGTCTGCAAGTATACAAATTAATTTTAGTTGGATTCATTATTGCTTAAAATCTTTTGTATATCTTTCTGTAGGCAACTCAATTTGATCATTTAAAATGTTGTGTACATATGAATTCTTCTAATAGCATTGGTCCAATCTTCGATCAATTTCTAAATCTTGGTATAAATAAAAGCTTTTTTCAGTGTCTACATAAGATACTTAACTTTATGACATACTTTAAAGATAATGTTTCTATGCAACACCAAAGAACTTAAACTAAAGCGCACTCACATTATATCCAACTCAGACAAGGCGGGTGTTGTAGGAACCACAACTGGGGCATTTATGATACAACCAATGGAACGATACAGTTCCTCTCTTCTCACAATCATTGCATAAAATGTCCTGAAAAATCATTTTTCAAATTAAAATCTTGACAACATGCATCAAATGTTTGTGTTTGTATTTAGTATTAATCAACCTGAGTCTGGCCAACATATTCTTCCGGAATTGTCTCTTCTGCCAACATTGCATCTATCATCCCAAAGTATACCTGGGAGGATGATAAAAATAAACTTGAATTAAATCATTAATGAAAATGAAATAGAAAAAAGCAACGTGATATGCAAAGTTATTCACCTGCATATCCCCCAACGACTTGCAGCATATCGGACACGTATAGTTAGAAGACGTGTATGCCTGACACCAACAACATTAAAGAGTCATTTAAGAAGTGTTTTAAGCTATTTCTTGAAGTTAGTTATAAAAAGGAAAGGTAATAGAAGAGATGAATACATCAAAACAAGAAGAATGCATTATATGACCACAGGATAGGGCTCTAAGAGGAGTGCTTGATGTGAAGATGTATTCATGGCATATTGGACAATCGACTTCAAGACACTTCTCCCTACAAATATGCTTCGAAAGAGACTTTGACATGCATGCATTGCAATTCATGCAATGGAAAAAGTCAATCCCTAGGCCTTCCCCGATTCTGCAGAGGTCACAGTGAGGACAGTGGTAGATTTGCCTGTTTTTAACAGAAATCTGTCATTTCTTTCTGGATATGCTTAAATGCATAAATAAAATACAGATTAAAGGAACTAAATTTATGATAAAATGACCTCTCATCATCAAAAAGTTTGCAGATTGAGCAGTAGTATCTAGCCATAGATAAACTGTTACATGAAACGGTTGAGCATGTTGGACCAATGGGTTGGATTATCAAGCATTTCATGCAAATCATCATGGTTGTGGCTTTTCTGCATGTTGATCAAAAGCAATACAAAACTATGTATGAAACTTACATTTTGACAGTTCATCTAGTCCAATGGTAAAATGGTCATTTACTTACTTAAAGGACTTAAGATCTTCTACATTGGGTCTTAAGTAAATTTCATGCAATGCTACTCACCAAAAATTGAATGCCATTTGGACTTCATCTTTCAAATTGTAAAAGGCTTGCAAAGTGATATATTAACATTTTAATCAAATAATCATTTTTAAATATTAAAACCAATTAATATATTACCTTTTTAATAAAATAATAATATCTAATGATGTGTCTTGCAAACAATGTACACGTGGCATTTATAACAGAATTGCAAGCACCACCACCGATGTGGTTGCTCTTATTGGTGACAGATATAAAAGGGTAGTTCTTTTACTTAAGACCATGCACAATGTAACTAGTATAAGAGTTGAATGGGGTGATTATTAAGATTGAATAAGAGTTGAACGGAATATGGGTGATGACATCGAGTAAGTTGAATGATCATTGAATGGTTCAATAGAAGGAAGGAAAAATGACTTACTAACCCAAAGAAGTTTCCAAACCGTTCAAAAAACCCCAATCATGTTTTCTTTGTTCAAGAAAATCCAAAAAACTTAACCTTTTGCCCAAAAAAGCCACCGGAATTCCCAAACCATTTAAAAAACATCAATCCTATTTTGTTTGTTCAAATAGTTCATTGAGTTTTTTTGAACAGAGAACACATGATTGAGTTTTTTGAACGGTTTAGAAATTTCGTTGGTCTTACAAGTCATTTTCCTGGTATGGTAATAAGTCATGTCGTCTGTTTCTGTTCTTTGACTTCCATAGAATTAAACAAAACTGTAACTTAGTTGAGTTTTTTAGACAAAATGTTAAGTTCGTTGGGTTTTCTTGAACAAATAAAACATGATTGAGATTTTTTGAATGGTTTGAAAACTTTGTTGGGCTCGTAAGTCATTTTTCCATAAGAGGAATAAAGTCGTGATTAAGATTGAATAAGAGTATAATGGGTTGTAGGTGTTGTTGTGTAGGTGTTTAATGGATGATATGACAATCCATTGAAATCTATACAGTTTAATGGATTATAGATGCCTTAATAGATACACAAAGAGTAAAATGATCATTTACTTACATTCAGAGATATGAATTCATTCCGTCAACAAATCATTTATCTATACAGCACTTAATATAAAAAAAAAAGGCCTTATGCATACCTATCCATTACGTGATCAGTGGCCTCATCATGGCAGTGCCTGCAAGTGTATGATTTGTTGCAACAGGAAGCAACAAGTTTGCAGTTCCGCTTGTAATGTTTGCATCCAAACTCTAGTTTTTCAGAGTCACGATAACATGGATATAAATCTGGAATCCTTTCTTCCTTAGCTTCCATATCAACCTCTGGTTCGGAATTTCTTTGCATGTTGATCCAACGGCTGAGAAAAAATGTCACAATTTATGATCAGTGACAAACAAATGAGGAAAAATGTAAGACTAATATCAACAAAACAAATCAATCCCATTAGCAGATTCTGAATAATGATTGATTTTCTTTTGAATAATCTAATCGTAGCCTCATGTTCCTCTTCACTTAATGCTATCACAAGATTTACAGATTTTTCGGTTGACTCTGTTTGACCAGCAACCTTTGGTATCTCCGTGCTTCTCTTGTCAACCTCACTCTAAACTTTAAAATCCTCAACAGCGTGATCTTTGCTTGATATCTTTTCTCTATGATCTTCAGTTCTTGGTGAATCATTTATAATTGAGACGTTATACCAAACGGCAATCGCCTTCCTATTTTTTTAATGGTAAAACGCTTCCATGCATCTTTGACTGTGGGTTAAAGTGGAAGAGGCATTGAACATGCTGCACCTTAATTAGCTATTTACACCTATATCAATTTTCAATTTTGAATTCTAGAACTAAATAGTCAAACTTTAAAATCATATAAAATACTGTAATAGAGTAACTTAGAATTTTTTTTTTTTTTTAGTTGGTGTTTAAGGAATTGGATTTCAGTTTTGGTTTTTCTTTTTGATGTTTTATAACGATTATGCTTCTTACTCCATATTTGTTAACAACTCATCTGTTAAGTATGTGAAAATGACTACTCAATCCTTGTTTTAATTTTTTGTTTTTATTATTGATAGTATTATCATTATTATTAATTCATGGTGCAACTGTGCAAGCTCTTCCATTGATTAATAGACCAAACCAAAGAATCACATTAGAAGCACATTCTGACCGTCTTTAGGTAATAATGGAGAAGAGACATAACACAAAATCAATTTTTTTTTTCTTTCTTTTTTTTTTTTTTAATTCTTTTTTTGTAAATTGATCGACAACTAGAATCAATTATCTGTAAAGATAATACACGGTAGTTAGGTTCAAATATAAGATAATTATAATTGTCTTATCAGATCCATGATATTAGGATCTTCAGTTGTAATTGTTGTATTATATAATGAAAGGAAAAAACCCAGGGTATTTCACGCCTAATTTATTTTTCTCACTTGGTATCAAAGCCTGATCCGTCTGATCTTTCTACGCAGAAAAACCCTACCTCAATCTCTGACTCTTTTGGTTCCTTTCCAAAGGAGCATCTCTTAAATTTCTGTAGTCCTTTCAATCTCTCCAATTCTCATTATGTCTGCACCCGTGAAGTCATCAACCATCGCTACTACCTTATCCTGTAAGTTGACTCGTACCAACTTCTTGCTGTGGAAAGCCCAGGTGACTCCTATCCTGTGAGGAGTGAAATTGTTTGGTCACCTTGATGGCACTACACCAGCACCCCCATGAACAGTGGCCATCGGATCCAGTAGCGCCGGAAAAGAGGTAGAACCCGCGAAGGAATCACCTAACCCTGATTATCAGACATGGGTTATTTAGGACCAGGCTGTAATTGGAGGTCTTTTGTCCTCCATGACCGAGGATGTAACACCCGTTTATTTATTAAATAAATAAATAAAATAATGAACGAATAGTAGCCCTAAAATAAATAATTATATATCAAATGATGGTCTCATAGAGCTAATTGTCACACTTTAAGAGATTCGGGGTTAAAAGTGTAAAATCCAGACTTATTATGAAAGAAATTTATGTATTAAGGGTTTGCATGGTAAATATTAGCTATGCTTTGAAAGAAAATATGAAGGGAGGGACTGTTATTGTCAACATGGGAAACATTTAGATGAAGCGGGTATATATGTCGCAGCAAACCCTAAACCCTTCATCTTTTAGCCGCCTCCATTCATCCTTTTCATCTTCAACCTGCGACAACCATCCCTTCCCCCCCCCCCCCCCACCTGGTCCGTTCTCCGACAAGCTAGCGGCCACCAAGCAATTACCCGACCTCCTGCCCTGCCGACCGATCGAGACTCTATCTCGCTATCGCCATCAGCTGACCCCGTTGTCACCAGTGCTAGTCATCAGCCTCATAGCCACCATCGGAGTCGGATTAAACCGCCGTTGCGTTCTAGCGGCCGACGAAGACAAGGACGCTGCTCCGATGTGATTCGGTTGTCGAGATCGCAACCCTAGCCGCCACCCTGCTGTTGGGGGCTGTTGAAGACGATGAGCCGCCTACCTTTCTCATGGCCACCTTGCACCGCCGCCATGATGAACGTTGCTGATGCTGCTGCCCTTCGACGACGAGCGTTGCTCCTTCTCTGCCACAATAGAACCGCTGTTACGCTACTGTCGTCGCCACTCACCTTAGGTGGGTGGCTGGGTTCGTTTTGCTAGAAGAAAAATTAAGGGTGTGTGCTCCCAGTCGCCTGTGTGTTGTGTGTGGTTTATCTTGGCTTGAATTCTAAGTACAAGGCATCACCACCACCGTAGGGTGGTGGCTGCCACCATGTACCACCGTGTTTTGTGTGTGTGTTAGTAAGTGTGTGTGTTTACTTGAGATTTAGCCTTGTAAAATGTAATTGGAAATGGAATAATGAGAAAGGAACTAAAAACCACCACCGTGAGGTGGTGGCTGCCGCCACCGGTCGCCGTGTCGAATGGCGGTGCGCTTTGCCTCTTGTGATAGATTCGTTTGGGGTGCTAGAAACCCTAATGGGCTCAAAGGAGCTCTAATGGGCCTAATGAAGCTTGATGGACTCTAATGGACCCAATAAAACCTATATGGGCTTAATAAGATTTTAGTGGGCTTATTAGGCCCAATAAAGCCCTAATTGTCATAAAAGGCCAACAAATTGATAAATGGGCTAATATTTGGATTGGAACACCCTAATGCCAATGAAAACCTAACTTTAAGAATTAATCGGGACACACACACGAGAATTATTTAATAACTAGAGATATTAAATAATAATCATTGGCAAAGATTAATGTAAGCAATATTGGACTTAATGGATTAAGTTCTTAATGAGTTAAGTAGGAAACTTAACCCTAATCATCATTTTATGTGAAACCCTAATTTCACTTGGGTTTATTGTTGGGCCTTTCTTTTGGGCCTTGATGATTGGATTATTAACGGGTCATCCAAGAATAACCATATGGACTAAAATAATTTAATGGACCTAGGGTAAGGCCCATGTAAGGGGTTGCGCCCAATTTGGAAAATTGGGCCATAGTTGGGCCTTAATGAGTATAAGATGTTGGGCCTTAGAATGAGACCATTATAGGCCTAGGCCCAATTTGGAAAATTGGGCCATGTGTTGGGCTTTGATCCTTAATTGACTTTGGGCCTATGGATTGAGCCTTGGGCTTGAATAAGCCAAGCTAGGGGTAATGTAGTAATTACCCAAAGAATGTACTTATGGTTATATATTGGGACCCAATTATTAATTCAGTGTTGACAGTTCGGGAATCTGTCAGCCAACAGTTGGGGTTGAGTCTGCGGACTTCAGCAAGTGTGGGATTGTGTCTTCAGGACTTCAGTAGTGTGAGGTGAGTTACCTTCTAGTAGCAGTGGGTCTAAGGCCACAATGTCGGCCCACTAGTAGGAATTGTATGATTAGATGATTGTCTCTGTGATATTCATCTAGGGTTGCTACTACCTGTGTTATGTTTATGTGTTTGTATGATATGATGCTATGTACTAATGATAGTAGGGGAGATAGTCCCCAGGTTACCGGTCGATAGGGCCGAAGGGGCAGTCATGCCCAACCATGTTAAATAGATTATGTGATACGTGTTATGTGGTAGTGGTAGGGGGTGAAATAGTCCCCAACATCCGGTCGAGAGGACCGAAGGGGAGACCAGCAACCAGATATGCTAGTCAGTATCCAGTTGAGAGGACCGAAAGGGAGACCAGCACCCAGATATGCTAGTCAGTATTTGTTTGAGAGGACCGAAGGGGAGACCAGCACCCAGATATGCTAGTCAGTATCCGGTCGAGAGGACCGAAGGGGAGACCAACACCCAGATATGCTAGTCAGTATCTGGTTGTGAGGACCGAAGGGGTAGGTCGGGCACCCATATGTGCTTGACAATATATGTATGTTATGTGATTATATGGTATGTGGTATGATGGGGGAACTCACTAAGCTTCGTGCTTACGGTTTTCAGTTTTGGTTTCAGGTACTTCGTGTTTAAAGGAAAGGAGTCGGCTTGATCGTAGCGCATCACACTATGGTTTTCCGCACATGAGATCTTTGGGATTACACTCTGATATTGTTTCACGATAACATGTTTGATTAATTCTACTTTGGTTTTGAGATGACATGATATTACAAATGTTTTATTACACTGTTGGTTTTATAATGACGTGTTTAAAAATGAAATTTTTGGCATGTATTTTTGGGATGTTACAGAGGAAGTTCTTCCTCAGCTTATCAGATGTATCAGCACTGCTCAAGAGTTGTGGACATCACCCCACACTATGTTTTCTGCCCAGTATCATTGAAATTCGATTCAGATTTGCCCTCAGCTATCAACAATAAAAAAGGGAGATATGACTGCTGCTGATTAGTATCAGAAGATGACCAGATTTGCTGATACAGTGGCAAATATCGGTCAGCCAATGAATGATGAAGAATTAATTGGGTATATCCTGGCAGGGCTCGGACCAGTATATGGTGATTTATTTACCGCCATTACTGTTTTGAGCAATGAACGAAAGGTAACCCTTCTTGAGTTTTATTCCTACTTAATAGCACATGAAGCTCAAGCAGCTACCATAGGAAACACAATTGAATTCACATCTTCTGCAAACACTGTGTCTCATCAAGAGTCAAGTAACAACAACAGTGTACCTCGTCGCAACTAAAATAACAACTATAATAATCAGAAGGGTAGCTATAGAGGAGGAGTTGGGCGTGGCAGAGGCCATGGGCATGGTCGAAACAGTGGGGGGCCACGCTGTCAGGTCTGCGGTATACCAGGTCACACAACTCCTGTTTGTAGAAACCGATTTAATCATGCCTATCAGCCTGAAGACTATCACAATGCGAACAGTGTGACAACAGGAAGACACTATCAGGATCCAAATTGGTTTGTAGATTGTGGAGTTACTGATCATTTAACCATTGAACTTGACCGTCTCTCTGTTCATGAACATTATCAAGGTAAAGATCAAGTATAAGTGGCAAATGGTGCAGGTTTGTCTAATTCCCGGTTCAAATAGACCTCTTCACCTCAAAAATAGTTTTGATGTCCCTCATATTAATAAGCATCTCTTGTTTGCTCACATACTTGTTTCTGATAATCATGTGTTTATTGAGCTGTACCCTAATTGTAACAACCCAAAATTCAAGACCAAAAATTTCTTTTAATAAAACATTACTTTAAGCAAAGTCATCATTCCAAAACGTAATCAGAGTATTAATTTTCAAAACACATGTTCGTTATCAGTGTAAACATTCCCAGACTGTCTAATCTATGGTGTGTGTCATGCGATCACCCCGAGCTCTTCCCTACACTACCGGAAGTACCTGAAACAAAAACTGAAAACCGTAAGCATGAAGCTTAGTGAGTTCCCCACCCTACCACATACCATGCATAATCACATAC